TTAAATGCAATTTAAATTCAAATCATCTTCTCAAAAAATCTCTCTTATAATTGATTATAATAAATCAAATACTAAGAGAGAAATGAGAAATTTTGATGAATATGATTTTTTACAAGTTTAATTCAATCAATCAAAGTTTTTCAATGAGAAAATTAAAATAAAGTAAATACTATGTAAGTTCAAAAAGAACTTCTCAATAAATATCTCTCTTTAATGAAGTGTAATAAATTAATCATTAAGAGAGAAATAGGAAACTTTGATGGATATGATAATTTTACAAATTTGATTCAATCAATCAAAGTTTTCAATATGAAGCAGTTGAAAAGTTTATGCAATATAAGTAAAAAGATTTTCTTAAAAAGTATATTTCTTTTAAAATTGATATAAATCCGTTAAGAACAAGAGATATGAAAAACTTTGATGAAAAAAATTGGTTCAAGAAATTTTATTTAACAATCAAAGTTTTTAATATGAAAAAATATAAAGATTTATGCAATGTAAGTTCAAATACATTCTTCAAGAATATATCTCTCTTTTAAAATTGATATAAATAAGTTAAGCACAAAGAAAAATGAAAAACTTGGATGAAAGAAATTATTCAAGAAATTTGATTCAACAATCAAAGTTTTTGCTTTGAAAAAATAAATGAAATGAAAATAAAAATTAAGCTCAAAGAAGATTTTTTTTATAGACATATCTCACAAAGAAATTTTCTTCATAGTTGTTGTGAAGAATAGAAGTGAAGTAGTATTTATAGAAATCAAAACGGAAAAGTTTTTGCCCATCCAGACGACCCAACCGAACGCCCGCTTACAATTGAACAACCAAACTAGCTGTTGTACAACAATAAAAAAATTGACCATTGACGAACCGGACGTCTACCTGGTCAATCAAACGTCCAGTTTTGAACTTTTTTTTTTAGAATTGTGATTCTAAAATTATACAATATAGCCAACAATAGGTGCGAATACAAGAACGATGTCGATTGTGAATTTTATGTTTGTTGAAACGGTTGAATGTTGGGTGCAGCCTCATTCATATTACTGTTCCTTGGTTTCGATTTCTTTCCTTTGTTTAAATTTGAAGTTGCTTGCGTGTACATTGAAATGAACTAAAATTTGGTTTTGGACTCCATTAGAATGGAGAAGGTAAGAGGCAAAAATACACCTTTTATTTCTTTGAAGTCAATCCTAATAGGCTTCTTTTCCAAAGTTTCCTTGGCGCACCATTTATTTTCAACGATTTTGGATCTTTATGCTACATCGACACTGTTAATGAATCAGTACACCGAGATCCTAACTGGATATTATGCTGCGACACAAAATTGCTTCCACTACTCAACATGTTTAACTTTAGATATTTAGTCTTGTTTTTATCCAATCCATTATTGTTTGTGTCCACCCTTCATCATATGCAGCAAGGTCTATCGCTTTCACGAAAGCCTAACACATATCATTGTATCTCAACTGTTCTAGAGTACTAACCAAACCATTGTAGTTCACTGTTACCCTCGTGTGTGTTTTACTTACATCTCTCCTCCATCTCTGCATTATATATCTTTCAGGAAATGACGTAACATCATTGCAAATCAAAACTATGATCGCATGCATGCAAGTTATGCCTCGAAGCTCAAACAAGTGGCAATTGTAAGTAATCTCACATCCATCTCTCCGAAATGAGACTGAAAATATTTTTTTCTTCCGGTGCTCATGATACATAACACCCTCTCGTATCTTGTATGCAGTCCTTGAACGTCCCTCAAAAACAGATATGATATTGCTGCAAACCATTCCTGTGAACTCATCTTGAACTTCTCTAAATTTGGATATGATGTAAACTGATTGAAATAACTTCTCAATCTCATAATTTGTAGCACATGGAAACATATGAGCGAATGACTTGAAATCAACCCTAAATTCCTTCTCTACCTTGTTCCACAAAGTTCTTTCATACTGTTCCACAAACTGCTTCAACGAGGTTTCGAATGTACATACTCGTTGAAGGACACATGCATACTCTCACTTCACTATGTTATTGACATCCCCGCCTAAAAAGTGGTCTTCAAAAAGCAATGCACCTAACAACCTCTATTTTTCTATGCACCTGACAACCAATCATTCTCATGCAATTCATACTCGTTGATCATCGATCACCAACTTTCTTCAAATTCTTGAACAAACTGAGAATCATATACTAGTTTGTGTATAGACGAAAATATTGATGCCTTATCAACATGATAGTCAAACTACTCTAACAACTTCTTCATAATGTGCCACAAACACCGTCCGTGTGTCGTATTCAAAAAATATCTAAATTATATTTTTCATTGCTCTGTCTTAATCAATAATTATTCTATGCAGAGGTAGACCATGTATACACTGAAGCCACGTCTTGAAAAGCCACACAAAGTATCTATGTCCTCATTTGGTAATAAACCACACCCAAGCAATATTGATTGTTCGTGATGATTCACTCAACAAATGGGTGATAAGCATGTCATACTTATTAGTAAGGTAAATGGTGTCAAAGGTGACGACATCACCGAACTCCTTGAATGCATGCTTATATGTTTAGCTACCCAAAATACGTTCTTTAGTCATGACATATCGTCTAGGTCCATACTAAAATAAAATTTCGAGCACTGTGCTTGCATCTTTGAAAAGTATGATTATATTGCGACAGCATCTCCTTCTCCAAGTTGTAATCGTCTAACTTGTTCAACATAGTTTCAATAATACTTTTCAAGGCATGTCATATACTCATCCCCCTGCTTCTACAATAGTGGAGTTGTAACTTTTGTACAACGGAATTCCTGCAATATCATTCACCTCAAGGTTACGTTTCATATTTGCACTCAATTCACCATTGCATCGATACAATCTAGATTTCGAAGGACTAATATTATGGTTGTGCTCGAGGTGAGCTGTGTCAATTCTTCAGTTTCCTTGAATATCTGACGATGTAGAGATCATTGCTTTACAATCTGTCTGACTTATTGGTTGTGGTTTCAAAAAATCTCTTGTACTACAGCTTCTTCAACCTTCACAACTACACTGAATGTCACTTATCCGAGAACTCCATCCTTACCCTTTTTTGAATTTCTTTTCTAACAAGAAAATCAATGTCACAAACATATCTCTTATAGATCTCAAACATTTCTTTTTCATCCTTAAAGATCATACCTACCTCAAGCTCGATCACATTGTCCTCTCATAACACTTCGTTTTCAACAATATTGACATTTTCCCCAACGTTCTCCTCATCGGACAACACCAAAATGTCATCGTGCACATCGTCCATTTCTTCACTGCTACAACCAAAGAAATGATAACGTTCAGGAAAACATAAACCAATTCCAATGAAATAGATGATAGAAAATTGAAAATTCACATCAATTTTACTATGAGTACAGAAAATTGTGCATGTATCAAAATTGAATTCACATCAATTTCTGGAGTTTATTATGTGTATAATAATAATAATAATAATAATAATAATAATAATAATAATAATAATAATAATAATAATAATAATAATAATAATAATAATAATAATAATAATAATAATAATAATAATAATAATAATAATAATAATAATAATAATAATAATAATAATAATAATAATAATAATAATAATAATAATAATAATAATAATAATAATAATAATAATAATAATAATAATAATAATAATAATAATAATAATAATAATAATAATAATAATAATAATAATAATAATAATAATAATAATAATAATAATAATAATAATAATAATAATAATAATAATAATAATAATAATAATAATAATAATAATAATAATAATAATAATAATAATAATAATAATAATAATAATAATAATAAAAGTCATACACATCAGTGGATTAACTAATGGGCACAGTTGAATTGCATAGTTGAAAAATGCACAACGCTAATTCTTAAAAATACAGATCTTCCAAAGTAGCAGATATTAGAAATAAAAAAAATACACATCGCTAATCCTTAAAAACACAAATTTTGCAATGGCTTACTGGAAATTTAAAATTACACAACACTAAAGAAAATGAGAAGAATGCAGCTCATGTGGGCAAACATCGGAGGTGTAAGCTATATGGTCGGGCAGTCGCGATTTTAGCCGGAATAAGCAGTTGGGATAGAGTTTTCAGGGCAAGGAAACTCGTGGAAAGAGAGTTTTTTGGCTTTTCAAACACCCAAGGTTGAAGCTATATGGTTGAGTTACGTATGATAAATGAGACAACACATTTTTTGCAATTTCCGCCAGAAGACGTTGTACTTGTTCTTGTGCAAAATGGGTTCTTTTCTTTTCATTCTATTATTTAATTCGTCTCTTTCATTTGGGTGCCTTTTTTGAAGTGCCGTGTTATTATATTTTGAAATCCTGTAACGGGCATGTGAAATGGGTGCCTGTACTCATAGCAAAATTGATCTGAATAACCATTAAACATCGGATCAGAAGTTTAAATTCTAGATTTAGTTTAAAGTTCAAATTATGGTTCCCAATGAATCTCATCAAATAATTTATGAGTATGACACTTGAAAATTAAATCATTCAATTTCTTTACTACCTCCAACAATAATTTATTACTAATTGAAAATCAAATAAGGGTAAATTAGAAAAAACTTTCAGAAAATTACTTTTTCTATAACATTAAATATAATATTTTTTAATCCATGTAAAAAACAAAACCAACATATATAAATAAGACGAAGGAGTACTATAATCTAAACAAGAAAAATGATCTATAATTTAGGACAAACAAAAAAGGAAAGCAAGTTTATTTTTATGAGAGGAAGGGAGTTACTTCTATTTTGATTCCAATATTATTATTTTATTCCTCTATTACATTCGAATGTACAAGACAAAAGATAAGACGACTTCGTTTTAATAGTAGAAGGCTGTAACACTACACACGAGCTAATCAAATGTGTTCCCCAATCGAACACTATTTTTCAAAAGTCTAAAACAGCTAATTTTAAAAAGAAATAAAAACAAGCATACCCTTTCACCAGGAAGAATTATTTTCCTTCAATATCAAGAGAGAATACCATCAAAAAGTATAACAAAAGTTATTAATCCAACAAATTCAAATAAGAAAACACTTCCAGCACAGGTCTATCATAACACGATATAATCCACAAATACAGCCAAAAAGCGTAGCTTCCTACACTCGTTACTTGATGTACTGAGAGACCCATTTGAAGCCGTCTCCATAGCCCATTTTACGAACAATGCTACACATGAAAACCTCGAGTGGACGAACATTTGAATCTGCAAGGTTCACCTTCCCCTTGCCAGTAGTGATACCCGTCAAGCCCATGTGGTAGCGCAACTCATCTTCGGAGGCAGCATAAGGGATGTCAATCTTGTTGCCTAAAATCAAGAATGGAACAGTAGCCAACGACTCATCAGAAAGGAGAGCATCCAGTTCTTTTTTTGATTCGGCAAACCTCTCCTTGTCATAAGCATCCACCAAGTAAATAACTGCATCCACCTTTACACCCAAGAAGTGCTTATTAGGCATTGGAAAGAGAATGCACAAAACTTACAATGCAGCCAAGCGACTACCAAAAGAAATATCTATTCACGATACAAATGGTAACAACTAGTGAACTATCTCTCACGAAAAAAAGGGAAATAGTAAAAGAATATAAAAGCACCCAAAGTCACTGACAAATTTAAGAGTGTAATAGCATGGTACAAAACCTTTTTTCTATTTATGCCACTTTTTGGACTTTCTCCCTTTCTTACTCTGCAACAAGGGAAGGGGAGAGGCCTGGGGTCCAAATCATTCATTTGATGCTCGTTAATGTCTCAAAAACTTGAGGAGAAGAAATATTAGATTATGCTATAGTGTTGCAAGAGCAGTTTCTTCTGGTAAGAATGTATCACTAGCGTCAAGAGTATTGAATCGTGTGACTTCGGGTTTCAAATGATCTTTTCAACAACTTGTTGAACAATGAGCTTCCACATCATCACCAAGAAAATTCAACAATCATGTAATCATTTGTTTCTTGTGCAGTTCAAGAGATCTTCCAAATTACCAACTCGGGTCCTCATTCTTTTAACCTCATGGGACGGCTCATAACACCGTTGCCCAAAACCATAACAGAATGCTGATCGGAATGAAGAACAGGTAATATGTTTTAACAGCTCCTTTGTTAAATTTTCCCCTGAAGGTTCTGAGATTTATTTTTACAACAGTTACGTGCAGAAAACAATCTTGTCATAATTATACAAAACTGCAATCACAAAAGGGTGACCAATAACCGCACGAAACATGATTCCAAAGTCAGCCACTGCATCATACCAATCTCCAAAGGCATTATTATGGTATACTTTCTGTCCAGTTCGTCTCTCTTATCAAATCCAAGAGTCGCACCAAAATGAGGGGAGAGATCAAAAGGGAGGACAATAATTCTTTTTGGCATACTTTATGGATCAACAGCTGAGAGAGGATGGAACAATCCAACTGAGGAAACTCATTTTATCCAACTGGTAAAGCATCCAATACATTGCAGTTGAAGTTCAATGAACAGAATTCAGTTCTCTTTCAAGAATAGAAATGTCTATATCATATACACTAAATGCATAAATGGTACGGAGGTAAATACCAATGTCTTCCATTGCTCGTGCACAAAGCAAGAAAAAACACTTTTGAAGCAAAAGGCATAACATGTTTGAAATGAAGAGTTTTCATATAAGCATATATCTACAACAAAACTTGGAAACTGAGGCAACTTGTAAATTTCAGCAAAGATAGTATCATTTTATCATAAAATAGAGGAAAACCGGTACTAAAATAATGTGTACTTTCAAAATAAAAATTCATGTATTTCATTGTCTACTTCAATGCTAGCAACCTATGATGCTTGGACTCGGGTATGAGAATTGGTATCTACCTATTTGGATGTCAGATCTTTTATTTTCTAAAATGTAGGATACGGGAATATAGCTAAAAAGAATCCAAATTTTGGGCATGGGTACGTATGTATGTCTTTTAAACTTCATTTTTATTTTCAAAAATTCATATGTAAAAAGTTAAATAATAATGTGGTAAATTTTAATTAGAAAAAAGGTCAAATGACTAAAATGTAAATTTAATCAACGTGTGGTCACCTCCAATGAAAATCATTCTAATCAAACTCCCAACTTCCAGCATATGTTGTATCATATGAGGCTGGGGCAAAATGGATTTTTAATTGTAACTAACCTCAGCAGCAGGCCTAATGTTTTAAAAAAGGCCCACCTCAACAAAAGGACCACAATTAAAAAAAGCCCAACAAACTCATCGTCTTGCATTTCCCTATTCTTCACTTCACGCGACTGGCAGTGACGGTGTCCTCTGCAAGTCTTCGTCCTCCAGCCTATAAATTCGGGCAGAGCAGCACTAGCGGCTGCGTCACATCACCAGCTGCTGGCTCCATAATTGGTGACGATCCATCAAACTCGGACTCGAAGAAGAAGCCAGCTCCTTCATTGTCGGTCAAGATTTGCCGTATCCGTCCCATATCCCATACCCGTACTCGTGTCGGGTCGGGTCGACACGGATACTCCAGCCAAAATGAAGAGATCAAGCATCAAAGCCAACAACTAAAATATTAACCCCAATTGTCAGAGTTAAAAATCAATGGTTAGGCTGGAAATCTTTTTTAAGAAGAAAAACTTAATAAAACTTGTCCTTTCCACGTGCTTCTTTTCCCCTAATTCAGCAGCTCAAAAGGCAATAAGATATGCAAGGTTTCTGCTGAGGTGCACTTTGAGCAAGGTTTCCTCATTTACGAGGTTACAATGTAGAAAAAATACGTGTACATGTTTATGGTGAGGTACTATTGAAACAACGTCTAGAAAAAATAAGAGGTGCTATCAGCGAAATCCCATCATCCATTTACGCGTCCCATGGATCAATAAACACGGAAGGAGCTTATTTGGGAATATGAAGGCACTATCGACATGCTAATACTGCACAACTGCAGACATACATCAATAAAAATCAATTGATGAAAATAGGCAATAACTATGTGGTCTTAACGGTGAGTTAGCCATTCACAATGTCCCCTGTCTGTCAGGTAGAGCACCTCTTAAAAGATTTCTGTTGACCATGTCTCCTACACATAACTATATACGAGTTTATGCCAAAATAACTCTTCAAGAATAAGTTTCCTTCTAATTTACCATCCCGCAAGCTTAGTAGTGGAAACCATATCCACCATCAGCAAAGAATGGCTTACGATGGTTCAAGCAAAGATTTCCAAATGAAAGGGGGAAACCCAAATTTGGCAAGAGGTAAAAACAGCGAAATTATTGCCAAGTTTTAATGCTTAAACATCTACAATGAATAGCTTCATCTGTAATTAGAGCATTTTAGGAAATAGTGAATTGAATCATGCAAATTGAGTGTGTCATTAGCAATTAAAAAAAGACTCTGTACATTTAAACTACCTTCCTGTAGAAAGCATGAGCTATAACCACAAGAATTAATTTTAAAAAGGACAGCACAAAATAAGATAAGGGAAAGAAATACCATGTTAGGGTAATGAATGAAATTTTCCGTCAAAAAAGTGTCAAAAGGTCAAAATCCAGAAGTTAAGTAGCTAGCAAATTAAAATTTGCCCCTGTTTGACACCATTTCTTAAATCTTATTTTTCCCCAAGCTCATTTTCAACCACACATTTCATGGGACCCACAACTTTTATCAACTTTTCAACCACACATTTCATCTTTTATCAAAAAATAAAAATAAAATAAAAAATTCTAATTTTTATTCAAACCAAACAGGGGATAAAATTAATTCTTTTCTTGGTTGAGGGGCAGGTGGAGGAAAATTTTTCCTTGCTAGTTACCAAAGATCTATAACAATCAAATGCAACAGGGACAGTAAATTAGAACATTAACATACCTTGGCATAATAATCTTTCCAAACTCTGCGTGCTATCTGATGACCTCCCAAATCAAAAGCCTTGAACTTAATCTTTCCAATACTCAACTCCTCTGATGTTGGATACTGTGTTGGCTGGTGCTGTACCAATCTCTGCTCATGTCCAATACTTCAACAACTTAGATTCACATTAAGCTTATAACCACAAAATTTGACTTGTATAATTTAATTTTGCTTCTTAAATCACTCAATAAAATAAGGAAAAATCACTATCTAAAAGACACCAAACAGAATATTTACGCCCATTCCATTCACAGGAAATAAAAAGGTAAAAGTTTAGAACAAGTATCCCACAACTAGTCACAGCTGTATTATTAATTATTATTGATGCATACATTTGAAAAAAGTATTACTTGATGTCAATACCAAAACAAGAGAAAATATAGAGAACAAAGCCCTATATTTGGCTTAGATTTAATCAATTTCACATATAACAAAATAATATGATTTGTTATGAAACGCGCAACAGACATTTTCAGAAACAAAAGTGGGAATAAATAGCATGCCGAAAAACCATCTACAAATTGACACAACTGATTTATTCCCATTAGTCAATTCATAAATCGGCAATTTAACGGTATCCACCGACATGATTCACAAAATTCGTTTCACTGACACACCAGAGGAAATATATATAGCCGTGTGTGAAATTAAGCAAACAAGAAATAAGGAAGGGAACGACCTCGTCTTTGAGCATATGAAGGAGGGTGGTTTTGCCAGCATTATCGAGGCCTAAGAAGAGGATTTTGGCCTCTTTTTGCCACAGCCCTAGCGAGGCGAGGACTCCATAGAACCAATCCACCAAGAACATTTTTGATAAACTAGATCAATTGAAAATCGAAGCGAACGACAGAATCTAAATTCTGAATCTGATGTATTAATCGATCCACGAACACGGTGCGGTTCGCGATCTCTCGATAGGCTCAACGAGAGTTCGTCGGATTTTATCCTTTTTGTTCTTTTCTTGGGCGAGAGAAAATGTTGCCTGTGTTGGTGCATACATCAAATACTGAGGGACACCGGGGTTACGAGTCAATCAGATTCTCTAATTTGTTTGTACTGTGGTGTTTGTGAGGTGTGACCAGGATTGATTTCACTATATTGGTGAAAGTTTGGAAATAATTAATATTAATTAGGGAAAATTGCAACAACGATTCCTATTTATCTTTTGTAGACTTTATTTTATACTAAAGAAGACTCCTAACCTTTCATAAATATGCACATGAGGTTCATTTGGATGGAAACTGTTCAAAATATCGTCAATTGACATTGAAAAATTTCTTGAATTATTTGTTAACGCGACAATTTTATTGGATGTTGATACCTTTTTGGATAGTATTTTTGAACAATTTTATTGGATATGGATTCCTTAATATTCTCGATTGACTGACTTTGTTTTGGACAATTTTCATCTAGATGAACCTCAGGTACATATTTATAAAAAGTTTGGAACCTCCACTGGCACAATATGAAAGTTAAAGTAAAGTATGCAAAAAATAAAAATAAATAAAAATAAAAGTAAAGTAATGCTATTCGTAATCACTCACTGCGGTAGTCGCCCTACGTGGCATACACATGGCAAGTAATTATTTATTACATTAATGTGGTAATTTTTTATTTATTAATGCATCAAATAACTAACTGTCATGTGTATGCCACGTAAGACGACTGCTGTAGTGAGCGACTGCAAATAGCATTATTCAAAAAGAAAAAAGGTTATGAACCGCTGCTGCCATTTTCCCTATTAATTATATATATTTCAAGAAATTCATAATTTTTTAACTACGCATTTTATTGATATTTATCGAAATTTACTAAAACTTGATTTTAATTTAAACCAAATAGGGGCCTAGTATTCTTGCAAATTATTTTTAATACAATGTTGACTCCGTGCTTTAAGGTATAATTTTTTTAATATAATTCATGTAAAAAGCTTATGGTTAATGAAAGATTAAACTTCTCGAAAATGTATGCAATTGGTCTGAGTATTGTTGATGATTGTATTCTGCAAACGTTTCGATGAACAGAATCCTGTGGTAATGGACTATCGATGATGAAGATATTTAGTAATACTAATAAATTTTTATTAGTATACCCTTCTATTGAATAATTGCAGTTCATATTTACTTATAATAAAGCACATTAAATAGGAATATATTATAAAATTAAGATATTAATTATACTTTCTACAAGGAAAATGACATATAATTTGTGACAAATAAAAAACGGAAAGTTTATTTTCGTGGGAGGGATGGAGTATTTGATTGTATAAATTTAGTAATACTAATAACTAATCACCAGGACTTTCTGAAATAATGAGAGTTGAAAAACTTGGTTTTTCTTAATTTTGTCATATTAAAAAGCCACCAAATTTTACTTCCTGAAAGTAGGTTAGCGAGAATTCTGCTAAGAAGTCCAAGTAGCCCACCGTTCACAACTTTGAACAACTTCCAATTAGATTAGGTTTTTCCAATCACTCGTAGATGTAGATGAATAAAGATGGGGTTCTTGAATTATAAAATCAAAAATACCATTGAGAACAGTTGACTTCATTTTCGGCAAGCGCCACGCGGATAACAGATGTTGGGCCCACTAGTTCACACGTAATATAGTTCCAAGAAGCATAGACAAATCAACGATCAAGAACACTCCAAAATGGGACGTGAGAGCAGCTCTCAGACACGAGACAATGATGTTCGGATTCTGGCAATATATGTTATGAACGATCGCATAATAATTAACGATCACAAACAACTATATTCAAACAAAGCAAAGTGATATAATCAACAAGAGAGAAGGCAAAATAGTAACTTAGAGCATTGAGAGTTGCATTTAGAGTTATAATTTGTATCCAAAGTTACATTAGTCTTCAAGTGTTACATGAGGGAATATTTATAGTACTGCAAGTGAAACGGTAGCCCTCGGATGGGCATACACGTGACATCATCTCCTTAATTCAAACATCTAATCCTAACCATCACTTTGATTTTCCTAGCTTGTGGCGCATTTAATGCTCTTACACATAACATGCGTCCTATTGACAAGATAAGACACTTATACTCATTACAATGGTTACATCAATCATTCTAGAGATCTCAGGCATAAATTCAAAATCTCGTTGCACTACGAAGCCTTGGATTCGACATTGTCAAGCTCCTCAGGTTTCGCTTTGTGAAGCCTCTTCACTATGGCAACTCTACTTCAGTGGAAGAATCCATAGCCAAGCCTCAGGGCCTCGCCCTCTATGCAAGGTGCTTTGGTGGTAGTGGGCCCACAGTCACAGTGGGTAGGCCACATGGAGCCACATGTGACAAGGCATAACAATAGTCCCCAAATTCCATGTATAATTATTTACGTCATGTGGGATTTCAACACCAAGTAGAATATCCTTTCGGCAAAAAGTTTTAAAATTTTGGACCTAATATCTGGTGATTAGCCTCTTCCTTTTTTTTCAAAGAATGAGGATTTCAAAATACCGCCTCTTTCTTTATTCGAGGAACGAGGACTCCAAGATACCTCTTCCTTTATTCAAGGAACGAGGACTTCAAGATTTTACCTCTTCCGTTATTCAAGGAAAGAGGGCTCTAGTAAGGGAAAAAAAGGTTAAAGGAGGCTATAAATCAGCTCTAGCATCCAGTCGAGCAATTGAAATGCATTTTCCCAACAAATTTAGAGTTATATATCAATAGATGTTGGCATGCTGCCTTTTGTTCATCAATTGTACCACTTTAAAGATCACAAGATGCAAAGGCATGTATTTTCTTGATAACTTGTGCTTGATGATTCTGATAATAATTGATGTGTGCAAGGCTATTGTTGGAGGATGAAAAGTTGAAGCTGGAAAAGCATGATAAATCCATTGACTTGGCCAAATGTCTTGTAAACTTGATGGATGGAAAATAAATCTAGAAGCATGAATAAATTCCAGCAAGCCTAATCAATGTCCAGCCAAACCAAATAGAAACAGCAGCCTGAGCAAACTTTGTAATTAGGAGTGGGTACAAAATTGTAGTGGCCTAATAATCATGTCCAGTGGCAACTAATTGTATCTTGGAAAATAAATCTTATGCCCAGCCTCCTCAATCTAAAAATAGAACATAAAAAGAGGCTTCCAAATTATAGGGCCCAAGAATTTTAATTTATTTTTTTTTTTTTTTTATCCAACAAGTATTGGAGCCTGGTGAAAATAAATAACCAAGTCCATTAAAATCAATTGGATCAAATAGAAGAAATAAGCCCAACCAAACATATAAGCTTAGACAAGCTACAAGGATATGAGGCCCAGCTAAATTAAGAAGAGTCATGCACGAAGAGTCATGCACGTCCAGGATCAAAGCCAGGACTAAATACAGGGGGCCAAATGGCGCCTCCTATTGGAGGGGGGCTGAAATTTTTTGACCCCTGTATTTAACCATGGCTTTAAGCCTGAGCAAGAAGTGTTTTTCCTAAATTAATTATGGGAACACAATATATATTCTTTATTTTAAAATCATATTTAAAAACTAAGGGGGCATTTGGTTTGCTGTTTTCAATTTTTAGTTTTTGGAAATGCCAAAAACGCATTTGCTCTCTCGTTTTTGAAAATGCATTTCCGGAAACAAGGAAAAATTTATGAATGAAAATTCAAAAGGTTTTTTGTTTTCGTTTTGAGTGTTTTCAGTTAAAAAACTCAAAATGCAGAAAACGTTCAAAACACGCCGTTTTCCTTTTTTTATTTTTTAGGAATGCTTAACAATAATTTTAAAATAGTAATTTCACCAAGTTTAAAATATATATTATCTTGTAATATATTAGCATAAAATTATTAAGTTTTATTAAATAATCAAATTAATTGGTTTGCTGTTTTCAATTTTTAGTTTTTGGAAATGCCAAAAACGCATTTGCTCTCTCGTTTTTGAAAATGCATTTCCGGAAACAAGGAAAAATTTATGAATGAAAATTCAAAAGGTTTTTTGTTTTCGTTTTGAGTGTTTTCAGTTAAAAAACTCAAAATGCAGAAAACGTTCAAAACACGCCGTTTTCCTTTTTTCCTTTTTTTATTTTTTAGGAATGCTTAACAATAATTTTAAAATAGTAATTTCACCAAGTTTAAAATATATATTATCTGGTAATATATTAGCATAAAATTATTAAGTTTTATTAAATAATCAAATTAATTAAATAAATATCATAAAACATTTTCTAAACATTTATTATTTTATTTTGGTAGCAAGAAAAAATAGTAAATTCACCAAATTTAAAATATATATTATCTGATAATATATTAACATAAAATAATTATATTTTACTAATTAATCAAATTAATTGAATAAATGTCATAAAACGATTTCTAAACATTTTAAATCAAACGCATTTTCTAGTTTTCTGTTTTGAGAAATCGTTTTTCAAAATGACAAACTAAACACATTTTTTGTAATTTGAAAATAGTTCCTCAAAATAGAAAACTTTCCTATTTCTAGAAATGAAAATAGAAAATGGAAACACAAACCAAACGCACCCTAACAAACTTCTAATTTTTTTTTCAAAAAAAGGTAATAATTAAATTTATTAAATATTTAATTATAATAGTATAATTAATTTACTCACCCAATCCATCACATCAAACCTTTCTTTTTCACTTTCCCTCCCCAACCCACCCCATCCTTCGCCCCACCCCACGCCACCTTCGACTATGGCTCTAGCAATAATTCTTACAACAGCTCTAGCGAATATTCCGACGACCTCTTGACGATCGTTCCAGCAACTATTTAGGTGACCGTCCACCTTTCCAACGACTACCTCTGTGGCCATATTAGTCTAATTTGTGACTATTTATAACCAAGTCAAATACGGTCGAAGATAGATTTTGTCACTTACCACCTTCTCAACACCGGCAACCAAACATTAACTATGAGAAAATTTATCTTACAAATGACTGTCTGTGACCAAGTCAATCTTAATTGTGACGGTATGTGACCAAGTCACAGCCAATCACAATTGACTCAGATTGGTTACAATCAATCACATAATTGATCACATATGGTCACTGCAAATAAATCTAAACACATCACAGACCAGTACCATCACATCCAATGCAACACCAGTACCACCTTCAAACCAAATTTACAATTATAAATACTACTTTCATTCACCTGTATTATTTGTAACTAACTGTGGCTAAATTTATCTTCATGTAGACTATCTATGACTAGGTCAGTCCAATTTATGAATGTATATAATCAAGTCACATACAGTCAGAGTTAATATAAATCTAGTAACAAAAAGTCACAATAAAGATAGAATTCATCACACCTGATTGCCACAGCCGCCACCACTCGGGTACCACCATCACTTTCAACAATGTTAAGAACCAAACGACACCATCTCACCCCGATCACATGTACCACAAGCAACAAAATCATTCCAAGCCACACAAAATGATTTCACCTTATTTATTCATGTAACAATTTGTCTCTCTTACTTGAGAACAATCCCGTAAACAAAATTATTTCAACTCATCTATAAACAGATGAAAAATAAAAGCTATTAAACAAAATGGATATTCCACAAAACACAACAAATAAAAAATAAAAAAAGGTGAAATTTCTAACAGAAATTCTTGCATTTGTATCTATTAAGCCTTTAACAAGTATACTTTATACTCTCTCTCTCTCTCTCTCTCGGCAAGTGCGAGAGACATGGGCGGAGCCATTTACCCCCAGTGGACCTTTGGCTCAAGACCAAACTCAATCCAATTTTTATCTCTCTATTTTTTCATTTCTTTTTTTTCTTTAAGTATTGGATTTTTCATTTATTTATAATCCAACCCATACACTAATTTACCCCAACTCCAAGTGCATTTTGACATTTTCTGACTCTTTCCCCGCGACAAGAAATTAAAAATTTTCTTTTAATCTGCCCTCATTTTGAAATATTTTTTTTCATTTCTTTCCTAAAACTCACATCTTCTTGAGCCCTCAAATTTGTAGCAAAAACTTTCTTGATCATATAATATTTCTGTTTAATATTGGGGATTTTGATTATGTGAATGTTGAATATTAGTAATATTTGCGATGGATTCTTGAAATCTTGATTTCTATCAATTAGTCAAACAATTAGTGATGATTTTCTGGTGTTCTAACAATTTGTAAAAATTAGTAGTTATTTTCCTATCAATTGGTATTTAATTGTCACTTGTGATTTATTTTAATGTGAAGTGTCAATGGAGAGATTCTTTGAAAGAAAATAATTTGTAAAAAATGTTGATGCAGAGATATCAAATAAAATGGATTTTGATATTACACAACTTTCTACATATCCTAGAATAAAGAAGAAGATAATTATTTTATTAGTGTTGTCGCCATGTCATTTTTAGCATTGTCATAATATCATTAAATTTATAACTAAAAGGTTCAACTTTGATTAAATTTTGCCTTCACTGAACAAAATTCTTGGCTTCTCCCCCCTAAAGAAGTAAAAAAAACCAACCTCTTCCATGGCAATCAACTCTCCCACTTCCTCTGCAGACAACGCAAGGTGAATCTAGCAATTTGTTTTTTTCTTCACGCACATTTGACTGTATCAAAGTAGATTGTCAGTAGAATGCAGCAACGATTACGTCTAATGTATTCTTATAAAATTAAACAAAAAGATACCCAGACTTTGTTTTGCTCTACCGCGTGCAATGGTTGCCGTCGGTGCGTGCATTTACTTTCTACAATAATTCTGTTATGCCCTAGGGTTTGTTGGGGACGGGTAGAGTGGTAGTAGAGCCTAGAGAGAGAGAGAGAAAACGAAAAGTGATGGTTAGAGAGAGATAAAAAGAGTGCCCCGTAGAGAAAGTGTGTGAGGCTGGGTCGGGATTAATTGGGGTGGAGGTGGTATGGGATTATTATGCAAATTAAGGTTTAATTACATTTTTATTAATTACAATTAATAATTTTATTTAACATCTGAAATATGAAGTTTAAACATAAGCCTTTCATTAATGAAAACTAATCTTTAATTATAGGATTTTAGATAATTTTCTCATTAATCATTGTGAGACATCATTAATCATTGTGAGACAACCATGCATAAACCTTTGGTCCAAGTCCCTTTATAGCCCAAACTAATATGTTGACCTTGTTTTGGGTTAGGACCACATGGACAAAAGATATCGGACTCATTCACGCACACATGAGCTAGTTCCAACACGCATAGACAAATCAACGGTCAAGAACACTCCAAAATGGGTCGTGGTAACAACTCTCTGACACGAGACAATAATGTTCGGATTCCAGCAATGTATGTTAATATTTAATGATCATAAACAACTATATTCAAACAAAGCAAAGTGATATAAACAAGAGAGTGCAAAATGGTAACTTAGAGTATTGAGAGTTGCATTTAAAGTTGTATTTTGTATTCAAAGTTACATTAGTCTTCAAGTGTTACATCGAAAGTATTTATAGTAGTGTCGGTGAAGTGGCAGCCCTAGGATGGACATAAACGTAGCCTCATCTCCTTAATGTCGGACGCCCAACCAATAGGGGGCTCCTTGTTCCAAACCCTGGAGCCATTCCCTGTTTGAATGGCTTTTCCCTAATTCAAACATCTAATTCTAGTCATTAATTTGACTTTCCTAGCTTATAGCACATCTAATGTTCTTACACGTGATAGACACCCTATTGACAAGACACTTACACTCATAACAAATGTCACATTAATCATTCCAAAAAAATCTTAAGCATAAATTCAAAATCTTGTTTCACTACGGAGCTGCAAATTAGACATTGTGAAGCTCCTCGGGTTTCGGTTTGTGAAACCTCTTCACTTTGGTAACTATACTCCGGTGGAAGAATGCATAGCCAGGCCTTGGCATTGGCCTCAGGGCCTTGCCCTCTATGCAAGGTGTTTCGGTGATCCACAACTACAATATGTCTGCCATGTGGAGTCACGTGTAACGAGGCATAACAAGAACCAGCGACAGTATGTTCGATCGATCTCATTATTCAATGTTTTAATCTCAATATTACTATGAAAATTAATGTGAAAAAGATATAATGATATCTATATTCCAGGAAACTGGAATGCTTAGTGCAGGTATTGGAAACAAACACGTTTAGTAAGCTTGTAACAGCTTTTGAAAAAAAGAAGAAAGAGCCCAAGAATCAAATACAAAGTTCAAACTGTTTTCTCAATAGCTCCTAAGAGAAGATGAAGAAGGGTGAAGACAGCACTTGACATTGAAACGAGTAATAAAACCGATCAAGATATATACAGCTCCTATTTGATATTGATTTAAATCAAATTTTAATTTAAATCAAAGTCACATAATCAATATTAACCACACTTTTTATAGATTTCACAACTTTTTCAACCACACATTTTAAAAACTTTTATTAAAATCTATTAAAAATCTAATTTTAATCCTCACCATACAAGGCATATCATCCCATATAGTTTCAAAAAGAAAAAAGATGTGGACTGTCATCCTAAAATAAACCCCATTGCATAATTGAGATCAGTATTATTATACGATATTAAATACTATATTGTACTTTTTAAGTATGATCAAACATGAATTATCATATAGTAGCATCAGAATTTAAAGAGGGATCACCACATAATTAGACTGCTATTACCAATACTCGCATGGCAGTGCTTTTGCGAAGGTTAAAAATGTTATAAAAGTAAAATAAATCACAACACTGGAGTAGCGTCATATGTTCTTAACAAATTTATAAATCTAAAACAACGAAACATGTTTCTCTTTTAGTTCTGTTGTCTGGGTCACGAGAAATCAAAGCAATTAAGCCACAAATGTTTCATGCAGCCTTTCTTTTCCCTAAAACAAAAAGCTACAGCCAAAGAATATAAGTAGAAATGGAAAAACTCTCAAATGCTAACTGCTGTGGGCAGAAAACACCATATATATAAGCACCTTATAGTTCATCCTGCAGAATAGAAGCACAAGTGAATTAGCAAAAGGCAAAATGTTATCAATGAATTATGATGTGACAAAACTGAAGATGCTCTTACATGTGCATCATCATCCACTGAGGTGGCTTCATCTTCCGTTGAGTCTGATTTGGAGTCGTCATCGGTATCATTGTCTTCTGCATCATCGTCTCCGTCCTCAGCCTGAAAAAGGAAAAGGGCAGCCAGATCAGGACACAAGGAAAAATAAATGAAAATTATATGCACTCTAGTCTTTGGATACCAAAAATGAAAGAAAGATTGATTTGAGGACTCACATCGGAATCAATTGGATCATCCTTTGATTCCTGAATTTGATTAAAAAAACAAAAAACAAAAAGTTAACAAAAACCTGTCAAGAGTCATGCAAGGCAGAATTCTTCCAGAATGAATACATAATTAACAAGACTGTTTAAGGAACAACTACCATAGTGGGGTACTTGGATAAGAAGAATTTAGTGGAAAAATAGAATTAATTCGACTCAACAACAGATAATTCGATCAAACACATTAATAAAATGGTACCTCCTCCTCTCTCTTCTTTTCTGCCTCATCAAATGCAGCCTTCTCAGCCTGTAGAATCAATATCATTCCCGTGTTAATGAGCAGATAATTGTTTAAAAAAGGGAACAGTGCATTTTGGAAAAAGGTGCAAGAGAAGAAGCTTTTAGAAACATATTCCACATACATCTTTTTGCTTGCCCCATGTTTCTTCGGCTAGCTGCTTAGCATATTCAGGATCATCACATACCAAGACATTGTCGAACAGGGTCCCAGATTTCACCTTTAATATGTATATAATTGCTCAGCTAATTGTAAATTGTTAATTGAAACAAAATCATATCCCAAAGACAAGATATTTCTTTTACCTGCCACAACTCAACTCCTACATACTTCAACTTCGGGTAAACATAGAGATCTGGGTCATCTTTGAAGTCTGTAATAACATTTAAATTTGGTAACATTTAATACTTCATGGTGCTAAAGTGATGCAAGAAAATGCTGAAAACAGAAACTACCTACCAGGGTTATCAATCATTGGTGCCTTCCATTTGCCTTTGTAGTTGGGGTTCTTGATTTTCTGATGAAAGGCCAAAGTTAGTCGTAAGCTGTTGATTTCATTAAAATCAATGAACCAAAATTTAGAGTCAATAAACCTTTGGCTTCCATGGGCCCTTGTACTCAGGGTTGGGAATGGTTGGTGCAGTCCACTCACCATCCTCCTCATCATCCCAGTCCTCAGGCTGCCGTAGCAAAACATCTTACTTGGGTAAGAATAAAGATCAGTAGACTTTGATACATGGGATTGCAAGGGGAGGGGGAAAAAATACAGAAAAGTTGCTATAACTACCTTTTTGGCATCAGGATCTGGAATCTCCTTTGGAATGTCATCATAACCCTTCAGAGAGAATATATATACGAATTAGTTATCAAATCAATATAACACAGCCTCTTATAATATTTTTCATTTAAAATAAGCACAGGGGATAAAAAACTTTAGTTCATTTACCTCTGGCTTCTTGTCTTCAGGGTCAGGAATGTATTCCTTATCATCCCAATCTTCGGGCTGTAATCAGCACGCACATGATATATTATTAAACATAACAAGCAAACAGGAATTACCTTGTAAAAATTGAAATGAATTTCTTGTATAAATGCAAAGGAATTACCTTCTTTGCCTCAGGATCCTTGATCTCCTTTGGTGGGAGGAGATCCCAATCTGAGTACAAGCTACCAGACTGCTTCTCCACATTGTCTATGAGGATGCTGTAAGTAGCATCAGGCCGAAGGATAAAAGTATAGACATGACTTAGTTGGTCAGTCTCACAAGGGACTTCTTTCTTGATCAGATGATTTGTACCATTGTATGTTAGAATTGCGTGGACTTTCTTAGTGCTGTAACCACAAATATCTGGTCCAAACATTATGCTGTAGACAACCATATAAGACAACTAATCAGCAACTTAGGCAGGGATAGAAGACTAAAATAGAAAATTTTCCAGAAGAAAATAGTTTATATGCATAACCTGTATGGAGTGTCACCACCAAATTTCTTCTGATCCACTTCACCACTGAGCAATTTCATGTATCCACCCCCACAGTCGAGCTTCTGCTCATGTTTGACGGAGAATTGAAATACTAAGGTTTTACCCTTGTTGCTGAATTCAGGAAACTCAGCAGATATGGCATAGAACCTGTAGTCTTCACTGGTCTGGATGCCTGCATTATAAACATTGAAATTAATACCCATTGAGCGTTATAGTTAACGACATGTGCATATGTACATAACTTATATGTTGCAGATGCATATCGCATGTTGGCATTAATACCTTTATCGTTAGCGTCTCCATTCCATTTGCCAGAGGTGTAATTCCACTCTCCAGCCATGTTCTCATCTTTCTTCCAGTCGGATTTGACCCATCGATTCTCCCATCCATCTTTAGAATTCACATAGCAAATATATATCAGTAACACAAATAATGAAAACCACATCTAAAATTTCCATTTCATTAAAGATAGAAACATGGCCCTATTTACTTTTCTTTACGTTCAATACTGTAATTATTTAAAATAAAACATGAAGCACTTTGATCCAAAGAGGAAAAGATGACATCCTCAATACAGAAAGCTCAACCTTTTACACTGAATTAAAAAATAAAGCTTGCCACCCTACCCTACCCCCAACCAGAAACAGTGTCTCGGCACACAATAAGTATGGGCTCAAATATGGATTCAAGAATACAATCACATACACAGACATAAATGGCAGCAAAAGTTTCCTCCTAGCAAATTGAAATTCAAAAAAATTGAATTGAACACCAGAAGTAAACCAATTCTGATCTAGGTTGCACGAAATGGAAACGGTAAACGAAATGGGGCACAACGCAACACGTGGAAATGTTATTTCTGAAAAAAGTAGTTCACAAAACATTGCTGAAACGTTATGTAAATATTATTAATTTGCATTAATACATTCAGTATTTAACTTCAACGAACTATTTAACATAAATTAAATAATAAAAATACCTCAATTAATCTAATATAACTAAAATTTCAACATATAAAATTTTTGTCATCTTAATTAATATCTGGTGGGAAGTCACATATAATTTATTTACCAAGGATGGCGTGGCGGACACTAGAGTTAGAAAATCAAGGTTTATAGCATTATAATTCTTTTAGCGTAATAACTAAAGCCAATAATTTGAAGAATTTTTAGTTGGTGTCCTTGATTAAGTTTTTTTTTTTTTTTTTTTTTTTTTTTTTTTTTTTTTTTTTTTTTTTTGTGTTGGTAAAATTTCTGAATTTTTACGAAGTGTTCTAAAAGGTTACCATAAAGTTTCCATAGAGTTTACAAATTTCTATTAATGATTTGAGTTACCGAAACATATTCAGAGAGTTTCCAAAAAGTTTACATTTAAAAGTTTCCATGAATCATAGATTCTGAATATCTGCAATATTACATACATTTAACATTTATAAAAACAGATTAAAAAAATTTAAAAAAAGCTTAAGCACTGAAATCTAGATCAGGTCAAAATTAATCTTCCAATATAAAATATTAGTAACAAGTTATCCATTACATTGAGTCACACCTCCGTTCTTACATTGAATTAATCGAACACTTCGTATCTATTAACTCAGCATTTTCATAATCCGACAAAAAGTTATAAAAATGAGCGATTTCATGAAAAATATCACAGATCTATTGAAAAACGTTTTAATTTGTACATTTAGACCTCGTATTCAATCCTTCAATCAAACAGATAAATCAAACTTCGATCATTAACAAATTAAATCTGAAATTGCAACCTAGTTAGCCCAATTAAGAAAATTCGTGGAAACCGTAGAAAATGAACTCCAAATTACATTTATCTTAATTAATTAGAGAGAGTAGTACCTTCGAAGCGCTCTTCAAAGATGACTCCCGCTGATGAAATCGCGACAAGAAGAGAGAGAGTAAGGACAAGGGAGAGAAAATTAGGTTTCAACATCGGCGCTCTTCTCTGCAGTATCGCCATGAACCGTTTAGAGAGAGTGTGAGAGCTTTGTCTATATAGATGGATCGTTCTTTGAGATTTACGCTTGGTTCGGACTGAGTAGTGAGTCCTGTCGAGGACAAGTTGACGACATGCTCGAATAAGAAACTGACGCGTAGAATTTCATTGTCATGGATTCCACGTGGCGGATGTTGACTGGGCAATTACACGAATTGGAGCATCCAGAAATGGGTTACAACTTGCACTGTGATGGTTGGTACAAAATGACGAGTTTAGCCTTGGCTTTTCTTTTGGACTTCTGAGATTGGAGTTATTATGAACGTGTATTGCATGATTAATATACTCCCTCCACTAATAAAAATATGTTTGATTTTCATTTTTATCTGTGCCAAATTATTAATCAATTTGGAAAAATTATACCAACCACAATTTTTCTTAAGTATGTCACATTTTAATTAATCCTTATTTTTACACTTATATTTTCACATTTTTCTATATTTTTATCATCAACCTTCTATTAATTTTCACATCTCGTCTACAGAAATTATTTTCATCCAAAATATTTTGTTATGAAGGCAAAAAAGTCAAATTTGTCTATCGTATTTTTAAATATTCCAAAAAAATAACTAAAAAAAAGTTAAACAAAATATATGTCCATCTTTTCAATGCATGTTAGTATAATATTAGGATAAAAATCGAGATTAGAGACAAAATATGTTAATTAATTGAAAGTTCAGAATGACTCTCCGTCAAGAAAAAGATAAAAATATAAGAGAAAAAGTGAGCAAATATTAAAAACGTTTCTTGTAATTGAAAAATCGAACAGATATAAAAAATTGTTATGCGGATATAATTAGACAATCACTTTTCATGTTATGGGTATAATTAATTTTTAAATATATCCCTATATTTGTTATTAACATATATGAAACACTCTTATTTAAATCATTATATATTGTAAAAAATTATATTTTCAACTATATTAATTATATTTTTTAAAATTTATGTGAAAATATAAATAAATTTTATCTTTATGGGATGAAACTTGTATCATTTTTCGTGTGAATAGGTTTGGAGAACAATTTTTGTGCACGGATATGATTGCTAGCTAAATGGTGTGGGCAATTATTGATTATTTTAATAAATTTTTTATGTCGAGTTTGGAAAGATCAAAGACGATAAATACTTTAGAGTCGGTACTACCTTGTGACGATGAATATTACAAAAATTGAATGGTGTGTTGAGGACCAGTACATTGACTACAAAAGAAATAGAAGAAGACAAAGGGACTGCTGATTTTTCTTTCTTTAATTCTCGGGTGAAATAGATTACATAATTAGGCCCTGTTTGGTAGAAATTTTGAGAATTGATTTTTTGATCGTTAGGAGAAAAGTGGGGGTTACCTATGAGAGAAGAAGTCAAAAATTATGACAAAAATAGTGAAGTAACAGTCAAAAAATCAATTTTTTAGGGTGAAAAATCACTCTCAAGCACCCCCTTAATATTTGTTGTGAATTTAATAAGGTACTTGTTAATTTTTAATTTCATTGAATTTTGTATGTAGTGGCCATTTGGCAAAATAATAATAATAATAATAATAATAATAATAATCATCATCTTGAAAAACTTCTTAGATTAGTGATTTATGTTAGGGTGTGTTTGATTACATTTATTTTCCATGGAAAATATCAGTTTTTCACCCAAATTTCTACTTGGAGTGTTTGATTGGCATGAAAAATATCACCTAGAAAAGAAAACATTTTCCATCTTTTGTGGAAAATAAAAATCACCTCTACCCAAGGGAAATGTTTTCCTTAAAAACAAGGAAAATTAGGCATATTTTCAAAAGTTGGAAAATGTTTTCCATGGAAAAAAATAGCAATCAAACACTCCAAGTAAGAATTTGGGTGGAAAACTGATATTTTCCATGAAAAATAAATGTAATCAAACACACCCTAAAAAATTAACCCGTGGTCCCATTCATTAGAGTATTTGACAATTTAGTTACACAAACCTGTTATTCTGTTCTAACAAGTTTTAAACAGACGTGACAAAATTAAAAAAAAAAATCCACTACTTATATTTTAATTTCAAGAGGGTTGGTCGCAGAATTTCACATTTTTAATGATTAAACAAACTTAATTTATACTTTCTTTTGATTAAACACTTTGTCCAACAGTTAACTTGTCAAATTGAAAAATTATATGAACGAGTACATGACAAAATAAATCATTAAATCTAATCTTTATAATAATCAATTTCATGTATTCTTATAAATTTTGTTAGTTGTACAATCGGGGTTGACAACCTACTCACAAGAGAGGAGCTCAGGATCCTTCCATGTGTGTAGTTGTCAATCGGGATCGTCAACACTTATTGTACATGTAGCATTTTCCATTTTCTTATTAGTAATATCCAATAAATTTGGACAGAATGATTTGACTGACACAATTATCTAAAATTGAAGCCCAACTTCGATGATCCCAACAATCTTTCTATTATCACAACAATAGATAGGGTTAAAGCAACATTTAATGCTACGATGATTCCGTTCAACATCGCATGTCTTTTTTATCGAGCCTTTTCTTCATCTTAATTTATTCTGAGGTAGTTTTAGCACATGACTATATTCAGTGGCGGATTCAGAAATTTTTGGCGCACGGACTAAAATTTAAAAGTCAATATAATAAAATTATACATTATATTAAAGTCAAATTCATTAAATTTGAAACTGTTTCCGACGAGGTTTTGAAACATAAAATTCATTTATCACGGAATTTACATCTATCTTTGGAGCAAGTTCTCGTTCGATGAAAAGTGTCATACAATCAGCAAGAAATTCATCCTCCATTTTGTTATGAAGATTCATCTTCACATGTTTCATTGTTGAAAATGCTCGCTCAGTAGTAGCAGTAGAAACAGGTAAAGTCAGTACAAGACGAATCAGTCTAATAACCATAATATAACTCTTCGATCTTCTACTTTGATTTAACTGTCGACATAACTCAATAAGTGTAGATACTTGAAATCGAGATTCAGTCTTCATATCTAGCTCATAGTGTCGTAACTCATATTTTAAAGTACGAATATCTTGCTTTGAAAAGTCTTCAGGATAGAATTTCTCAACAAGTGTACAAATATCGCGACTGTTAAATGATGCAAACGAATCTCTAGGATCCAAAGTTGCACTGAATGTGAGAAGTTCCACTGATGTATCATTGAATCTTGTATTTAACTCCATCAATATGTTATCTATTGCTTCATCGAAAATATCAAAGTGATAATGATGCTCCATTGAAATTGGATCACGAGAACGACAGTGACCAATCTTACATAAACTTTCTAGATCAAGTATCTTAGTATCATGTTCGAGCAAAACTTTTTCACTTCCTCAAGAAATTATTCCCAATTATCATCTCTTAATTTGTGGAAGAGTTTTGTTCTAGTAGAAACAAATCTCATAGCAGTCAAAATATCTTCAGATTTTCTTTGAAGGGCCTGACAAAGAACATCGATTATTTTCATGATGGTATGCATTAAATGCAAACTGAGCACGAAATCAAAACTTTTCATATGTTTGTAAGTGCCACGAACTTCGTCCCTAGATCTTCCATCTGGACAATGAACACTAAGATTTTCAAACGCTTTGCAAGTTGCATTATACATATCTATTAAGCTCTTTATAGAGTCATAATGAGAACTCTAACGAGTTGCTCCTGATCGTTGCAAATTACCCACTTAGTTTGCTCAGACTCAAGCAACATATGCTCAATTTCATTTCTTTTGAGCATATTTTAACTCCGAAATGCGCTTAGGGAAAGAAGTGATAATGTTGATAATATTGTCCAGATGAGAAAAAACTTCCAAAATAACATCAACAATTTTAGCTGCATATACCAATACCAATGTAATCGATGAGTAAAACAGCGGACGTAATACGCATACAGACAATCTCTAAGAAATAATGCCTGAAGTCCATTCTAAGCACCCCGTATATTACTAGCACCATCATATCATTGGCCTCTCATTTTTGCCACTTCAAGTTCATGTTGAGCAAGAACATTTACAATCTCAATTTTTAGACTTGATGATGCAGTGTCGCTGATGCTTTTAATATCAAAATAGCGTTCCTTCAAAATACCCTGACCATTTACAAACATCAAAATAATAGTCATTTGTACTCTCTTAGATGCATCTTGTGTTTTATGAACAAGAATATAAAAGTATCCATCCCCAATTCCTTCACGAATCATCCTTCTTACGCTATTCGCCATTATATGTAAGATTTCTTTTTGAATACTCGGAGCAATGTATTAGGCATTTTTTGGAGCATTTTTCAACACAATTTTATCATTTTCCATATTCGTTTCTGCCAAAAATTTTATCATCTCAATAAAATTCCTGCGATTCAATGAAGATGAAGTTTCATTATGACCTCTGAAGGAACAATTTTGAAATGCTAGCCATAGAGCACTTCGAATTGAAGCCTTTAAACGTAGACGACGTTTCTCAACTTCTTCATTCGATATGGTATGCATCACTTTATCAATATGTTGAGACGGTTTCACTAAATCTTTAGCTCTTCTCTAATGCAGATTATGATCCGATGATTGCAAATGACGCAAATGATTAATAAATACACATTTTGCTCCGTCATTAACTCTCTTCCGCTGGTTATATCCAGAAGTTACCAACACCTAACAATTGGACGGATTACCATCATTTTGGAAAAGATAACAATAAAAACATTATGCTCTATCCGTTGTAGGTGAATATTCTAACCAAGGAAACTGGTTGAACCACTTTGCCTGAAAGCAACGAGACTAAGATTTTCCTTGTGTCTTAGGATACTCAACAAGTCTTGGCTGATAAAGCCCAGCCTTTAGATATGCCACTTTAATCTCATCTTGCATATTAGAAGGAAATTCTAGAATTTGCGTTCTTTTCCCAGTTCCCGTTCAATACTAATATTTGAGGATGAATGGCATTCAACCTCTGGAGAAAATGAAGGTAGATCTTCAAATAGTCCATCAAAAGTTGTACTTTCAGTAGATCGACCAGCCATTTGCAAGAACGAAAACAAGTTCTTATTCTTCTTGAGAGGAGGTTGACTTTCCATTTTCAATTC